AACGAGCAATGATACCTAACGAGTGATGATACCTAACGAGTGATGATACCTAACGAGCGATGATACCTAACGAGCAATGATACCTAACGAGTGAGAATACCTAACGAGTGATGATACCGAACGAGCAATGTTACCTAACGAGCAACAAGCCCTAAGGAGCGATGATACCTAACGAGTGATGATACCTAACGAGCGATGATACCTAACGAGCAATGATACCTAATGAGTGATGATACCTAATGAGTGATGATACCTAATGAGCGATGATACCTAACGAGTGATGATACCGAACGAGCCATGATACCTAATAAGTGATGATACCTAACGAGTGATGATACCGAACGAGCAATGATACCTAAGAAGCGATGATACCTAACGAGCGATGATACCTAACGAGCAATGATACCTAACGAGCGACGCTACCTAACGAGCAATGATACCTAACGAGCGATGATACCTATAAGACAGTTACATAGCAACACTGTTACTGTTAGGTGTCTGAGGCTGTGACACAGTAATGCAGCAATACTGTTTGGTGTTTGAACCTGTAAGACAGTTACATAGCAACACTTGTAGGTGGTTGAAGCTGAAAGACAGTTACATAGCAACACTGTTACTGTTAGGTGTCTGAGGCTGTGACACAGTAATGCAGCAACACTGTTAGGTGTCTGAACCTGTAAGACAGTTGCATAGCAACACTGTTAGGTGTCTGAACCTGTAAGACAGTTACATAGCAACACTGTAGGTGGTTGAAGCTGAAAGACAGTTACATAGCAACACTGTAGGTTATAGACCGAAGGTCCGATAGACCAAATATTGCAAAGGGTTAGGGTTAGAGTTAGGGTAAGGGTTAGGGTTAGGGTTAGAGCATATATATGGTTTATAGTGGCATCATATGATTTATAGTGGCATTGGTGGATGTGCGGCATATTCACGTCCGAATACGGCATCAGTGGATGTCCGGATGCGTAGCCTTGCAGGCTAGGCTACCGATTCCGTGCGTGTAGCCACTGCGTATTCGAATAAACCTTCGGTCTATCGGGCCTTCGGTCTATCGGACCTTCGGTCTATAGGGCCTTCGGTCTATAGGGCCTTCGGTCTATAGGGCCTTCGGTCTATAGGGCC